TGAGGGGAGATAAAGTCTTAAAGGTGATTAGCCACTTGAATTATTTTATTTAATTTTAAAATTAGAAAAATAAAAAACTAGAAAAAAGATAAGTGTCTTGAAAAAACAACCAGAAAAGTGCCATCTTGGCACACTTTAATATAGGTATAAATTTTATTACTAGCAAGGCCCATGCGATGCAAAGGATTTATTAAATAAAAATAAAGTAGAAAGGTCTATTTGAAAATTTCAATTAAGTGAAATCCATCCATGTCAAATCAATATTTTTTAGGTTATGGTCCAAATACAACCCAAGTTGCACCTTTAGTAAGAGTATCCAACTTCCTATATGTTTTTATAATTTTTTTACTTGTAGTAACTCTCCTTAATTATTATTGTATTAATTTCCTTAATGGATCTTTAAATTAACAAAAATTATTTTTAAGACTAATAAATTATTATTAATCTTTACTAATTTCCTATTTATTTTTGTAAATTTTTATTATTTTTAAGTGGAATCTATATGGGTTTTAATTTTTATTATTTATTAATTTTGTTAATAGGACCCAATTTTGTTTTTATTATTAGATAAACTTGCTTTCGTAGAATGAACCATCATGACGATTAATAGGTAGGAACCACCTGTGGAAGGCCTCGGCGTACAACCTCTTCCCTAGAACCCCACAAGGAGTATGTCTAAGTGAACCACGACACTCAGCTATTTAAAGACATCTCCCCTTAAAGGTTTGGGTATTTCTTAGCTCACCACTCCTCTTCCTCTTATACTCACCTCCTCCTTGGCTTGGACTAGCTCACCCTTAACAGCTCGACCTGATCAACCTCACCCTCTATTATTGACTTGAGCATTGGAGTGCCTTTCCCGATGACCTCATCATCATATTGGGACTCTAACTTTCTTTTGTTTGTAGATATGCTCGATGCACCACATCATCCTTCCACCCCACCTTTGCTCAAGTTGGCAGGATCATCTGTTTTGTGCTTGACTTAGCTATACCTTGGATCGGACAATATCAAGAACTACCACTTGTTAGATTCACCTATGACATTTCTTGAGTTAAGAAAAAGGTCATGGATGAATGTCCTTAACCATTACCCAAAAAAATTAAGATAAATAATTAACCAAGAAAATGGGGGAATTCAAGCAAAAAAAAACTTGAACAAAATTATATATTAGACAAGAACATAGTCCTTAAGGATAAGAGAAAAAAGGTTCAAAATGTGCAAATAAAAGTTTTCAAGACCAAAAATTCCTTTTTATGCGTAACAATGAAACTTTATTAATGACGAAACAAAAACTTACAATTTGGAAGGTATAATAACATAAAAACTTATCGGGAGAAGAATTCTTCATCGTCTGCAATAGGTTGAAGTAATAAATTAATTTGATACAAATCAGGTGAATATAATAGAATAATTAGTGTTTTTGGTCCTTGTTTAAACTTCATTATATTATCCTCATCATCACGGCCTTCATCATCTCCTTGCATGTCGACATCTCCTTCATCACTATTCGAGTTTGAATCCTCCTTATACACTACTTCCTTGCTATCTGAACCATGGGGGTTACTACTGTTACCATTCTCTTCCACCTCTTTCAAAGAGCTATGTACCCTTGCTAGCATCAATTTTTAAAACCCATTTAGGGGGTTTTCTTTTTTTGGATTTTGAGAGGGGAAAAGTTGGTCAATGGGATTTTGATTCCCATTGACCAAAAATCTTATGTTTTTTTTTTTTTCAGATTTATGTGGAGATCAGGAAAATTTTATTTTTCAGGTAAGTGATACCTATATCCTAGGTGGTTAAATAACTTTCCCACCATGGAGGAAAGTTGCCAACACTTGAATGGGACAAAAATACTCTTTGTAATAATGAATTTTTATGGCTAAAATGGTCATTATCTTATTTTCATGAGAAATAAAAAAACATGGGTAAATGCACTTATCCGGGTAAGTGTTTCTTAGGAAAGACTTACCCGGATAAATAACTTACCAAAAAACAAATGGGGCCTAGTTATTACTACTGGTTCAATGGTCAGGAAAGTTGGGGTCACTTCTTTAGGTTTCTTTATTGTTTTGGGGCTAGCTCTTGAAGAAATTAAAGTTTCATTTCTAGGATTTTTTTTTTTTGAGTTAGCTCGATTCACATTGATCCTTGAACCATGGACCTCCCTCATTTTGTTCCAGTGTCTTGGTGGAGCAGCAATCTTCTTATGTCTCCTTCTAACCACCTTCCACCCTCCATCATCAACAGTATGAAAAACTTTAGTTGATGGAGGCCAACAGCCTATGCTGTTGAGAGAATTTCTGGAAATGCCACATTACCTTGAGAAGGGATAAATAAGTAATTACATTTTAATTTATTTTGATTAAAAGCTAAAGCATAGGTGTGAATAGGTGAACTGCCCAGAACATGCCCAACCAAGAAACTTTCTCAACAGCCTATACTGTTGGGCCTCAATAGCCAAGATTAACCCTCAACACTAGGATTTTTTTTTACTTTTGGGGCGACTTAAGGTCTTGTGACCCAAACGTCCACATGCAATACATAGGTTGTGGATGTTTTCACAGAAAACATTATAAACATGTCGAACACCCAATGCCTATCTCACTCATGCAGGATGATATGTAGATACTCCTCATCCCAGAATTCTAAAGAGAGTCCTGGGATTCTTATCCACAAGTCACGGTCGGCAGAGATTGAAACTCGGAACCCACCTAGTAAGGACTAGGTACTTCCCATTAATAATCCCGGCTCCACACTCTAGAACTTTCTCCATATTATCTTGAGTCTTGAGAGGCAAAAAAAGATTAGGAAATAGTCATTACCGAGGTTTTTGATAGTTAGTCTCTCAAATATTTGCCATGATCTCTTGCTTTTGTAGTAATAGCTTCAAGGGGGACTATTTTATTGAGAATTTTTGTATGCAAGCAGAGGTTCTTAGTTGTTGCTTTCTTTAAGGCTGTGTTTGGTTTGAAGAAAAAAAGTAGGGAAACTTTTATAAACCTTGTATAGGTTTTGAGATTTCCAAACCCTTACAAACCATGTATCTCTTGGATTCAGTTTGCTTTCCAAACTCCTTACTCGATCTTTCCTCATGCATGAGATCAACAAGGGTTTTGGGCTTCTTGTTTAATTTGCTGCCACTGACACGATTTCAACCATTGTTTTTATGTGTTTTCTGAAGCTTCTTACACAATCGATGCTTCTTCTATATGTCACCCTCACTATTTAACAGTGAGGATCTAGTTATTAAAACTGGTGGTTGAACTTCTGTTAGTTCTTCTATTAATAAGCCTTAGCATTTCCTAAAACTTCCTCTCTTTTTAGGTGGCAACAATCTCTCGTCTATCCCATCTCAAGATTTATTGGTTTTTGTTGTCTTTAGGATCCTATCTTCATTCTTTTATAATTGAAAGCACTACCTCTCCAAATTTCCACTCTTCACTAGATTGAATGCGGGTCTGGGCTTGAACACAACCTAGGCCCAAGTCCAAAATTTCTGAATGTAGAAAAAGATCATCTTTAAAAAGGAACCAATTTAGCATGAATGTAATTATAAAAGTATAAATCACTAAAGCTGATTTCAGTGCAAAACCTTGTATATAGTATTTTCTAAACTTTGCATTTACATTGTACATATTCGTATTTGCACCCTTCCCAAACTGAGGCTCATTTTGGAAGGAATACATATACAAATATATACAGTGTAAATACATACAAAACACAAGGTTTTGCGCTCTACATATTTGTATTTCTACTCTTTTCAAATGGAGCCTGAAGTGCAATGTCGTGTTACCATCTTTATATCATGGTTTAACGAGATTGATCGTTTTATTGACTATCTACGACAATATGGTTGATTTGGGTTTAAGAACTATATAATTGTGGGATTAGTGTTGAAGGGCGTGCTTATGATTTTGGTTCAACTATGATAGAGGAAAGATTTGATGTGAAAAAACTTATAACCAATCAATCAATATCATAATAGTGGAAATCAATCAGGTAACATATTCATCAAAATTCATTGGGGGGTGATTGGTCAATGCTATTTTAATGGAATTTGATTTCAAATTTGTGATTTGACATAATTGTATCAACTTTGGATAATTCTAGGTAATTTATCTGTATATAATATTTAAATTATATAAATAATTTATATATTCATATACTTTATATAAATAAAATATTTATATTATATATTAATTACATAAAATAATTAATTGGTCAATTTAATATTCAAATATTTAATTGAATTTAACTTTGAATGTTAATTTTCTAGTTTTGTCAAATATTGAATTGGACTTGAATATCGAATTTTGCAATTGAATTCAGACTCAAATATTGCTTAGTTCGATATAAATTTGATCCGTTCACACCTAGCCCCAGCTCGGCCCATTTACAAATGGGCCATAAAGTTAAGCTGATCCAACTTACCCATTGGCCAAGGTTGAAAGTTGATTGCAAACCTTGCCAACCTGGGCTGGGCCCGAAAATATATGCCGAAGGGGCCCAAGAGGTGTTGCCGTGTTGGTGTACCTATGTGCATGAGTGCATCCGACATGGAACTAACCTGATGTCTGATGATTGACTGGTCGTTTTGAAATTTTCGACGTGACTCGATGAGATGAGGCCTTGCCAGTTGAGAAAGAGACAAGAATCACAGAATCACTTGTTTGGAATCTTTGATCTTGGGGATAGGCGAAGAAATTCATGGTCAGGATTGTCTGTCGAGAAAAGATTCCAATCCGTGATCTTCTGTAATGTCATTTCTTTGAACTCTTGTTACACCCAATAGTTGCAGAATAAAAGAGCTTCACGTGTGAGTTTTTAGCGCTGCCCATCTACACAGTAGGCTGTAGGCCTGTACGCCCTGCCCTAGGTTTATTCCGCTACTCCCCTTAAGATTCGAACGGTTTCTGATATTTCAACGTTCAAATAGTGGGACCCACCGGTTGCCATAGGTTAGGGCTTTGCTGCTGTTTTCCTCTTACTACCCACTCTCCTCATCATCTGTGAACTGTGATTCTGTGGGGGCTGGTAGGTAGCATTGTAATCTTTCTCTCTCTCTCTCTTTCTCTCTCTCAGAGAAGCAGGGAAAAATATCAAAAATGCATACTTTGAACCAGGTATCCTCGCTTTCCCCCTTCACTTATTCGAGATTAAACCAAAGATTCCAAGGCCATTCTTACTCTTTCATTGCAAATCGAGGAATACAAGACCACTCATCTGGTTTATTCAACAAACTCTGCTCCAAAATCTCAGGACCTCGGGCCAAAACCTTCAATCTCAGTGAGGTCCATAGCCACCCATTTGGGTTTTATTCTAAACCAACTGCCCAGGTCCTCGAGGACGGAAGCAACACCTCCGGTCTCAGCAAAACCAATGGGTACCCATTTGGATTTTTCTCAAAACCAGCACTACAGATCCCAAGGGCAGCTTCCGGAGCTTCCCAGGAAGCAATTCCAGACGGAGATGGTACAGAATCGAAGCAACAAACCCTTCAGCTTGCTCTGGTTTTCGGGTTCTGGTACTTTCAGAACATTGTGTTCAACATCTACAACAAGAAAGTTTTAAACCTCTTTCCCTTCCCATGGCTTCTGGCCTCATTTCAACTCTTTGTGGGATCTGTATGGATGTTCCTTCTCTGGTCGCTGAAACTCCAACCTTGCCCGAGGATATCCAAGTCATTTATTATTGCTCTCCTGGGGCCTGCTCTGTTCCACACGATTGGCCACATTTCTGCATGCGTTTCCTTCTCCAAGGTTGCGGTCTCCTTCACCCATGTCATCAAATCTTCAGAACCCGTTTTCTCTGTTATTTTCTCGTCTTTCCTCGGTGACACTTATCCCCTAAGTGTCTGGCTTTCCATCCTCCCGATTGTTCTTGGTTGCTCCTTGGCTGCAGTAACTGAGGTTTCCTTCAATTTGCAAGGTTTATGGGGGGCTCTGATCAGTAATGTGGGCTTCGTTCTCAGAAATATTTATTCAAAGAAGAGCTTACAGAGCTTCAAGGAAGTAAATGGACTAAATTTATATGGATGGATCAGTATAATCTCTCTGCTATATCTGTTTCCTGTGGCTGTATTCGTTGAGGGATCGCAATGGGTTGCAGGTTATCAAAGAGCCATTCAAGCTGCTGGCAATCCGTCGACATTCTATTTATGGGTGCTCTTATCTGGGGTGTTTTATCATCTGTATAACCAATCTTCTTATCAAGCTCTTGACAAGATTAGCCCATTGACATTCTCGGTTGGAAATACAATGAAGCGGGTGGTGGTGATCGTATCCACAGTTTTGGTCTTCAGGAACCCAGTGAGACCTTTGAATGCTCTGGGATCTGCTATTGCAATCTTTGGCACCTTCTTGTATTCGCAGGCAACAACAGCTAAAAACGTGAAGAAGGATGGAGTTGAAAAGAAGAATTAAATTTGTTTGTTTTCCTTTTCTCTTCTTTCTCTATTTCTTCTTCCCCCAACCCCCAAATTTATAATGTTTTTATTAGTCTTCCATAAACTACTTGTCAGCATGGAAGCTGATTGCTTTTGAAGTCTGACTAGCAACTTAGCTAAACAATTATGTTACATTCTCTAGATTATAGGGCTCTACTCCACTATGATACATCAGTCTCATAGAATTTCTAATTAGTTGTCCTAGTTGCCAATTGAATTGCCTTAGGAGTTCTACAAACATTGAGGAACCAATGCCTGAAGATTTGTTCTTGACGATCTAATTCCTTTATTATAGCCTTAACTCTGTCAATAAAAGGAAATGGATATAGCAATGGGAATCTGTCCAGCAAAAGATCTGTTGAGGTGTTCTTTATTAATGCATCCAAATACCATTTTTTTGATGTGCAAAGTAATCTAGATACCAAATTTGGTCATGGCTGGTGAACTTATCACAGTCAAGTGCCAACTGCCAAGGCATTGCATGATGGCTTCTTGTAGCTGCACTGCATATGTAAGATGTTTATACATAATCTTTAACTCCAAACTGGTAATGAGAAATCTGATTTTTAATATGTTCTCTGGTAATGTATCCAGATACCCAAATTGGTAATGGCTGGTGAATGCCAGGGAATTGCATAATGGCCTTTTGTAGCTGAACCACATGTTTATGCATTATCTTTTAACAACCACATGTTTATGAATGTTTATGCATTCATGTATTACTTCAATCCAAATGTGTAGGAAATGCTCCTAGAGAGCATGTCTACTCTACAAGATCTATTGCTAGTCCTTATTGCATCCGGCTCCAATGATTATTCATAGCAGTTTAGTGTGGTGAAATTTATTTTCAAATTGCAACAAAAAAAAGACCTATTAACAAAATATATGTTATCTTTTAGTCAGACAGCAACTCTTACCATAAACTGGTTGGCCTTGTGTATTAGAATTTTCTTGAATTGCTACCAACTGGTTGGTCTTATTGGATTTGCACTGGTACAGGACCTCTACCAATTTGGTTAAAATGTTCAATTGAACTTGCAAACCAAATAGAAATGATTAATAGGATGGCCCAGCAGGAAATTGAGCTTTGGAGGTCCTGCTCAAAGCAAACCTTTGGAGGTCTGGTTTAACATTGCAAGAAACTGAGCTTCATGATGAATCAGCGGTTTTTGCTTTCTAATATCATTCAATGACAATTTTGGATTGTTAAACTCCATCCTTTTTCCCGGTTTGAAAGGAAAATGTATTTTGAATCTCAACTTCTTGGAGCTCGTCTGTACTTGAAGTAGATCAAGGTATTGACAAACTGTCAGAGCTCAAATGCAGTCAGGTGCATCTCTATTTGCCTTTCAATATGTGATTCCATAATGCTTCTGGTTGGCTTCAACAAACTGCACCATGTGGCTGTTTGTTTATAAGGCCAATAAGATGTTTTATGTAAGCCCTAGGCATCCTCCCTGGACTTGAATATTTCTCCATGGCAAAGATTAGGTGGGGAATGTCCTATCCTGTTGTGAGGCAACCAATTTGAATTCATCAGGATCAGAACATTTTCTATACAGTCTAAAACTAATAATCTTAGGTGCTTGACCTACTTATTTCAGTTGTAATTTTCAAACTTCGGTACAGGCAACATTTAATTTTACTTGGTGTGACAAACTTACAGTTCTAGTACATGCTTATAACCCTCGCAAACTTTATTAGTGCACTTGCAAGAATGTAGAATTTTGGCTATAGTCTCAGAATCATAGGCTATTTAGTGCAATCCTCCATCTGAATGAATATAGATTTCTTTAGGTAAAATTGATACAAGCTTTTGAGGTCCCTTGCCAACATAAAAGTTTCTTACTGGTAAGGGGTGATTTGGCCACGACACATGGATATGACTTGCTAGTAATCAACAGTTTGGGAGCACGGGTGTTTGTGCACCTTGGCATAGAGCCACCTCATCACCAAAGCCACTTCGGCACCCGAGTACCGAAATGACACGTAATCAAATCCTTAAGTTTCTCAGCAGACTCCAAATCTCTCGGGATCACGCCGCGTAACGATAGGCCTTATCCTCTTGTCGCCCGGATCGGACGGTAACGATAGACTTCATTGACTGGTACGTTATTCTCCTTCTAAAGTAGAAACGGATCTCATCTACGCGGACCAAGGATCTCGGAGTCGTTTCGTGAGACCCATGGCAACTCAACTATATCAGGGTATCAACCCCCTAGGATCCAAGTATGCATGGTTAAGTGCATTCTAGCTCTCCTACTTCTCAAACTCTCAGTTTGCATATACTATTACTGACTTAAGCATCGGAGCAACCTCGTCGAGTTAGCCACCTCGGGTTCTCTAATACCTCCCTTTCTTTGCAGTTTGAGTGATCTACTTGGCGATAGGCATCTGAGCTGCCCTATAGCTAGGAGCATCTAGATCGCGCACCATCAATTGGTGCCGTCTATGGGAAACGATCGAAAGATCATCCTAATCCCAGTCTTAATCCCAACTTCAATTTCACTCTCAATGGCATCTTCCAGCAATACCGAAAAGAGTCTCGACATGAATGTTATCAGGGGGCAAGAGCACCAAACGACCATTCCCTAAGGTCCCTTAGTGACAATTGGCCAATTCACTATTCCCTTAATAGTCTCGGGGGTCCCATCACTATCAGTGCCGCAGACCACCCAGTAGGTGAATGTCCCGCTCCCCCAAGTGAGTACCGCATTCTCAGAGCCCTTTGTGATTCCCCCTGAGGTTGGGCATTCCTAGTTTAATGACCTTGTTCAGAGCATCCAGACGATGCAAATCTAGATGTAGTAGATTGGCCAATTCCAACAGTTCCAACAATATTACTTTTACCAGTAGTACCAGCAGCAGTTCCCACCGTTGCAGTCGAACCGACCAACAAGTCAACATCAAGGACAAACTTAGAACCAGAACCAGCATCGGGCCCATCAGAGCGTCCGCCAGTCTCCTCCCCATGGTGAGAGAACTTTACAGGTACCGGTCCCACCCTCGGGATGAACCCCGCCATGGAGTAGAGTAATTGAACCCCGCCATGGAGCAAGAGAACGTAGATTGTTAGTTTGGGGCCCGAGGTGCAGGCTTGAGAGGAGACCCCTTGGCACCCCACGACAGCCAGCACCGGTCGCGTGGCAAAGAGGAAGTGGCGAGAAGGACCCTCGATCCACCTCACCCCATCATTCGGAGCAAAATCGAGATACCTGACAACACTGAAGGCTGGCAGCACAAATGCAGCGCCATCAAAGAAGCAGCAGTGGTGACGTCGCAAGACTCGCCATTCCTTAGCTAGGAATAGCCTGCCAGTGAAGCCTAGCCACTCGATAGAGCGAAGTAGAGAAAGAGAAGAGGTAAGCTCGGTGGCCACGAGAAATGCGCCTGCTCTGTTGAGCCGACCATCCCCCTTGTCACCCAAGCTCCTAGCGGCGCTAATGCCGAAAACTTCAAAGTACCACCACTTGACAAGTACGATGGGTTTTTCGACCCCAATGATCATGTAGACGCTTTCCAGTCCTAGTTGCATCTTTCTGGTGTTGACAAGGCTTGTATGTGCATGGCCTTTTTCACCACATTTAAGGGCATAGTTTGGACTTGGTATAGGAACCCTGTGCCAGGTTCTATCAAAAGTTGGGCACAGTTCGCAGACATGTTTACGGCTCACTTCATCACCAGTAAGAAGTGCTCGAAGTCATAGGAGAGCCTTCTGAACATGGTGTAGAGGGAAGGAGAATCAATTCGGAGCTACATCAAGTGCTTTAACGAGACCTGTTTGCAGATACCAGACCTTGATCGAGTAGTACACCTTACTGCAGCTCGGAAGGGAATTACTTACAAGGAATTCAAGTGGCATGTCGTAGCAAACAAGCCAAAGAACATCACCGAGTTCCTTAGGCTGGCTGATCAGTTCATCAGCACAGAAGAGGAGATTAACCAAAAGACAGAAAACTAGCAAGGTGAAAAGAGAAAGAGAGAAGAAGAAGAAGAAGGAACAAGCAACAATAAACAGAAAAAAGAGCAAGTCCCCGAGGAGGAGAAGAAAATCACCGCACTCGAGGAGCAAGTCCCCCTCCCGAAGTTACAGGTCGGGTCGGCGTTCCAGGACCCCGCCAGTGGAGAGAACCAACTACACCCCCTTAATGCGAGGCAAGGAGAGATCTTAATGGCCATTAAGGATTCCTCCATCATTAGATAGCCACCCAGGCTACGGGGGGCCCAGCAACCAGGAACCCAAATGTTTACTGTCACTTTCATCGGGACCATGGTCACAACACTAAGAATTGCAGAAACCTCCGCGACAAGATCGAGGAACTCATCCACTGCGGGTATTTGAAAAACTACATTTTGCGTGAGGAGAATGGGTAGGGGGACCAACAGGGAGATTGGAAGAAAGATACCCCGAAAACTATTAGGCAGAATGAGCAGCCACCTCGCTCGCTACTAGAAGAAAGACCGATCCGCGGGGTGATCAACATGATCCTCGGTGGATCCATTGTAGTGAGGTGCACAACAACAACAAGCAAGATTGTAAGGACAAAATCCTATCCGCTGTCATAGAAGACGGGCCGAAGCTATCCGGAAATCGACCCTAGTGTGATAACTCATAAACTTAATGTGGACCCTTTAGTCATGCCAATTAAACAAAGAAAACGCAACCTCACCATGGAGCGGTGGAGGGTAGTCGACGAGGAGGTCAAGAAGCTACTCGTCGTAGATTTCATCAGGGAGGTCCATTACCCGAGCTGGATTGCCAACCCCGTGCTGATGAATAAGGCCAACGACAAGGGGCGCATGTGTGTCAACTACATCGACTTGAGCAGAGCCTACCCGAAGGATTGCTTCCCCTACCCAGAATAGACCACTTGGTAGATGCGACCTTAGGGCATGAGTCGTTGAGTTTCATGGACACCTAATCTAGCTACAATTAGATTAGGATGGACATAGCCGACGAGGATAAAATTGCCTTTGTAACCAAACTTGGGTTGTACTATTATAAAGTCATGCCCTTTGGTTTGAAAAACGCTGGAGCAACTTTCCAACGATTTGTAAACAAAATATTTGAGCCTTTGATTGGCAATAAAGTGGAGTGTTATGTTGATGACATGGTCGTGAAGACCCAATTTTCTAGATCTTTAATCGATGATTTAAATGCTATCTTTCAAATTTTAAGGAAGTACAATTTGAAGTTAAACCCAAACAAGTGTGTCTTCAGGGTCACGTCGGGCAAGTTCCTTGGTTCAAAAGTGAACCGACGTGGCATCGAAGCCAACGGCTAACTGGCCGGGTAGCTACCCTAAATCGGTTTATGTCTAAATCGGCAGGTCGGTGCCTATCCTTTTTTAAGGCAATAAAAAAGAATGAAAATTTTGAATGGACCAAAGAGTGATAGCTC